AGCAGGAATAAATGGGTTGTGTCACAGCAACACAAGAGAAGTAGAGTCCAGATTGCACCGTGAGTGACCAAAACGCCCGGGTTTTACAGCCTGGCGCTTACAGGCTCCTTTCTTCTGCCCGTACAGTGTCCCTAGGTGCTGCGCTTCTTGCGGCGCTCCTGGTTCCTCTGTTTAATCCCTCCTCTGTTAGGCTGCTTGCCGCGGTTTGAACTTCAGAAACACTCGCTTTGAAAAGTTGTCGGATGGCACATCTAATCCAGGCTCACCTATCTCTCCTGCTGCTCCTAGGGCAGTTACAACAGGTCTCCCGAGACTTGCACCGGGCTGGTGCAAAGCAGCCACCCCTTTGCCATCAGTGACGTTCTGTTAACACGTTTTGAGCCTCCGCATTTCCTGACACGGGCTTATTTTGTCACACGTGTCCTGTGTCTTTCTGGGCTGCTGGCAGGTTTCACTGGAAACGGTGAGTCTCCCCAGCGGTGCTCTGCTCGTTGCTGTACACAGTTCTGGGAAAAAATCTTGGGCCTCTTTCCTGCAAGTGAGACCTTGAAAAGCCAACGCGTTCTTTCTTCCCTCGCAGCCAGCCCCAGTGACGCCAGTCTGATGCGGTAGGGAAGAGCAAGAGAAGGAGGCACACAAGGATGAGGCTGGAGCGGTCCTTGCCTCTCCTGGGACTCCTGCTGTGTGGGGGTGAGTACCGCTGGCCAGGGGGCCGTGGGGACCAGCAGGGTGGCTGCCCAGGGGCTGCAGAGGAGAAAGCACAGGTTTTGCAAAGTACCTGCAGCCACCTCTTCTGCAGCTGGCATGACCTGTGCCTACGGAGCCGCTGCTCTCCAGAGGGAGCGTTCCCCTCAAAGTGCAGGTTGCGGGGACAGAGGAACGGGAATGCAGCCCCCTGGGGCTAAAGAAAAGAACCTAAGGTCCCCAGTGAATTTGTGCCTGCTAGCCGATTCACTGAGACACCTGGTCTCCAAACTTCATGCAGCAGCGCTGGCGCTTGATGTACTCCTTCCTGCAGCCGTGTGAACTATAAGGTTCTGCGGGTTTTATTTTATTTTTATGCTCTAATCATGCACTTTTCTTAAACCGTTTTGTGATCACGGGTAAATAACTTCAGTTCAGATTCGCTGTGATATCGCAGGAGCATCATTTAGACCGTCATTTAGAAAGCTGGTTTAGGGTGAGGTCTAGATTATCTGTAAAGACTATAAAAAAGCTGGTAGCTGTGAGAGGTAGGTTTGAAAGATAATGAAAAGATACTACAACAAAACTACAGCTACTCTGCCAATGTGCTGCAAATACCAACTGCTATTCTTTGAGGAGATTGAAAACATTTGGTTTAGCAATGGCCTCTTCTTATTTCAAATTTAAATTCATCTTATATAAAGAAAGAAGCATCAGATCACCTTCTCTCCAGCCAAGTCCTATGCCTGGGGATTTTCAAATCTACGATTTTGTTACAAGTAACTCCTATTGTAAAGCAAGCATTACCTGGGATGAGACGGCAGCGCTGAACACATGAGTACAGGTCACTATTTACTTATGTAAGTTTCTGTTGACAAATGTCTTTAAAGCAAATCACAAGTCTGATTCAGACCTCCTAAAAACTGTTTCTGTAATACTCTAGCTCCAGAGACTACAACGGAGCTACTTGTTTCCTACCAAGAGAGAAAAATCACATAGATAAACTGCTTTACAGCGTTAAATCAAGCGTCAGGGTGCCACCCCCCAGTGAGCACACTCTTGCAGAGGACAGTGGTTCTTACTGCAGAAACCAGGCATGATTTTCCAGCAGTCTTTGGCTCATGATAATAAAGCAAAATTGTTGGGCGTCCAGCTTGCGATAACCCTTTTTCTAAACCGGGTCAGAAAATTACTCAACTGTCTAGTCTGCGTTAGTCTGTGTTAAAGATGGCTTCCAAAGGAAAAGACTTCGTTTCAAAACAACATCCTGTCTCAGCTAACAGAATGCTTCTAATGCCTTTAGCACAAATATAGGAGTATAAACATCTCTTTCGAGCAGCTGGGTTCAGGAAGGATATCCTCTGATACCAGTAGCTATATTACTTAACACTTACTATTCTTTCTTTTGTAGTTGGCACCGCAGCTCAGCAGGGTAAGTGTATTTTACCATCATTCTTAACTCTTTAGTGTGACCAAAAGGCCAACTGTGCCTCACAAGTGAGGACTAAAAGTCGAACAGAAATATTTTGCAAATACTGTAGATTAGGAACAATGCCCTGTTCGTGAATTGTGACTGATCTCACCTGCTTGAAAAATTGGCTGTCATGAATTGTGCCCAGTTATTGCTAGTGATCTCCAAGCAGGGTTGGGTATTTTCCACCAGCAACAAGCAGAAAGGCAATGGGCTGATTTGTTAACTCTTCCTATTCTCTCCTTTGCAGACGATTACGAAGAACAGGCAGGTAGGTGTATTTTACCAGCATTCTCAACGATTTAGTGTGGCATAAAGACTTGCCGATGCCTCACAGGTGGGGACTAAAAGGCAGACAGGAATATTTGAGTTCAAACAGCATTTAGGAGGGAAAAGTTTCCTGTTTTGTTAGCTGCTACGGTCATCACTGATCAGAAAAACCAGCTATAACGAGCTGCCCCTAATTAGTGGTCTCCAAGTGGGGTTGGCCGTTTGCAGAGACCAGCAAGCATATGGGTAAACAGAGCGATGAGTGGGAGATGGGCAGGCTCTCTGACATAAAGTTGAACACTCTGTGATGCTGTTTAGTGCTGCAAAGAACCGGTGTAATGAACTAAAGGAAGACACGCATGCTGAAGACACATACACGGGGAAATTACGTTACACCATGAAATCAAAGATTTTGCAGAGCAAACTGTCGCGGTGGGACCACGGGTGGGCAGGGAAGCCTGCTCAGAAGCTGTCTGTAATGCTGGCTTCCCTTCTCGTTGGCCCATCTTCCAATAAAGAATTCCTGGTGGAGATTTCCGGAACCACAGTGACAATCACGTGTCCCTTGACTGAAGACAACATAGTCTGGGAGGTAACTGGGACAAGACTACCCTTCCAAGAGAGAAAGTACGTTATAGAGAATCACGACAGCTCTCCTGTCAACGTGAGTTGTTCGGCAGACGGTAAGAAGCGGCATGAAATGTACCTGAAAGCCAGAGGTGAGTGAAAAAGCGTTCAGTCTGCAGGCTGAAGATCTGAGTCTACGCGTTTCAGGGGCAGCTGTTAGGAGCTGAGACCTCATTTACAGCGCGGCTGGGCTGGGTGGATGCGATTCTGCTGAGGCCCTTCCCGCTCTGCGCGTGCAGTAAAAGAGGCCAAGAGCACGTTTTTGGCAAAAGGGATCTCCCTGCTCTCTACGCCTTTCCCTTCCGCTGTCCTCAAGCTGGTTGCATGTCGATGGTTCCCACACATACAGCGCGTGATCTTCCTTTATACAGCTTCTGCCATGCTCCAAGGCAAGACTAATGTCTGTCACAAAGGCCAGAGGCATTTCTTATCTTGCAGAGTGGAAACCTCCCATCTGGAGCACACAGCCTTGTTTCTGTGACCCATCAACCCGGGGGAGTTTATCCCCATCCTTACAGAGGGATTTAAGCCTCTGAGCCATTAGAAATTCAGGCAGCTGCTCTGCGTTGTCTCTGAGCAACCTTTATCTCTCCTCCCGGCAGTCTGCGCGAACTGTGAGGAGCTGGATGCCTTGGCAGTGACGGGGATCATCACTGCGGATCTCCTCATCACCTTTGGGGTGCTGATTCTGGTCTATTACTTCAGCAAAGACAGGAAAGGGAGAGCGAGCGCTAGTGCTGGCAGTCGGCCACGAGGTAAGAGCCATTTCGGGCATCCCTGGTCTCTACCATGTCCACTAAGCACTAAATTAAGCACTTGCCCCTGCTGAGTGGCGGAGCACCCTCTGTTATCCCCAAGCCTCCAAGACCGCGCCAAACAACGCTCCTGCTTGCCACATCTGTTGCTCGGAGCTGCTGTCTTGTAGGGGGTGTGCTCGTGCCTGGGCAGCTTGCTGAGGCACGGTAGTATAGGTCTGGAGCATTGGGGAGCTGTAGCCTGGGTCTGTGCTTATGGGTCCTTCTTGTTTTCAAGCATTTCCTCACAATCAGGAAATCTAAAGGGAAGCTGATTTCCTCCTAAATGGTCATAAGGCCTCCTGCCTGCAGCAGCTGGGTCTTTAAAAGCTTTAAGCTCATAATAAAGCCACGCGAGTTGACCCATCGTATGCGTTACCCTGTGATCCTCTCCGTGGTTGTCCCTTGTGCTGTGTTGCACGAATCACCACCAGGGATGACCTCTCTTTGCCTCTCTTGCAGGTCAGAAGATGCAGCGTCCTCCCCCTGTGCCAAACCCGGACTATGAGGTACGGAGCACCTGCGTTTTTACCATCTCTCTTTGCTGGTCGGGAAGGGATAGCCAGAGCTGGGAATCTGTGGCGTTTCTCCTTTTTGCTCCTTTGAAGAAGCGTCCAGCCAACTTCCAGGCTTTCCTGGGAGCGGAGGAAAAGGGTGGCGAGGGTGGAGGCCCCCCTCCTGGTGCTGCCGCAGGGAGTCGGGAGCAGAACGGCGGCTCCCTGTGCCCTGTGCACCCTGCCGGAGAGCGCTACGCCTGCTCTCTCTGTTGTAGTTTTCTCCACGTGTTGTGCGGACCAAGAAGACCCTGGTGTTGTTCATAAGGATTCCCGAACTAACATCTCTGCTGTTCCCACAGCCCATCCGGAAAGGCCAGCGGGACGTCTATGCAGGCCTGGAATCCCGGGGCTTCTAAAATTCCCACGGAGGAGAGGCTGGAAAGCAGCAGCGGGGGGGGGCTGAGCGCTTCTGCCCAACTCGGTACCGGGTCTCTGCAGGCCTGCTGAGGCCCAGGCGTTTTGGGGTAAGCCAGGCGGCTACACAGGACAGGCACCCTGCTGCCATCCCCTGTGCCACCCTGACACTCTCCTTCGGCCTTCGGTTTGGCAAAGAAACAAACGAGCGCATTGGCAAGAGAAGTTCTACTCCTCATTAAAGGACTGCAACCTCACTCGTGGTTCCTGGCCTCCTTTTCCCTCACGCCTCTCTCTCTACCCCAGTTGCACGCTCTGGTTTTCCCTCCCATTTGGTTCCCACCCTGAGTGCCTCCACGCGCTCCCTCTGCCTCCCTGGGTAGCTCGTGGGCAAAGAGCGGGTCCTTCTTAGAGTGACTGGCCTCTCACCCTGTCCTGCTCCAGATTCACAGCCTATCTTCGTTTTGCTGCCCAGGGTTGTACAAAAGGAATAGAGGCAATCGGCACATGAAAACCAAACTGGCACATTTTCATAGAAAAGCCACTGCTTTGAATGAAAATATTGCAGTATAAAAGAGCGGTTTTCCTTCCAAAAAATGAGAAGCACTTCTACCAGTACTTGCAGACCAACCTGTCCATCCCTCAGCCGTTCTTCTGTGGGAAGGGAGTGGGGCAGAGCACCGCTTTGCATCCATTGTGTTTCAGGGTCACATGAGGATTTGGCACCTTCCCAAGCCATCTGAAAGCCTCCTATTAGGAAATTTAAGTGCTTGGCTTAAATCTTTGTTGCTCTAAGAGCTAAGATATGAACCGCCACTTAGCAATGAGTATCAGCTTTGCAGTCTGACTGAGACAGCACAACAGGGATTTTCATGTTTCCCAGATGAGAAGTGAGACCCTTTGGCTCAGCCCCAGGACTAACACCCTGCTCTAAAACAGCTTGTTCACTGGAATTCAAATGAATGCATTGGGGCCTCAGAGATAAAGCCCAGGACGTACAAAATCCAAGAGAGCATCAGACCCTCTTGCCAGGCTGTCCTTCTCAGCCCAGAGACTTCATGGACTCCATTTTTACTGGCTTTCTATAGCGCGGCCCAGGATAAACACATTTCTTTGAGCGTGTTGTACCCTAAGGGGTGTACAAGTACATTTGCTGGAGGAGTTTCCTTTTCCAAGAGCTCTCGCTCTTAGAGATCCTTGTGATTTGTCCTTCGCTGCTGCCCTTTCTCTCCCCATTTCAGCAGTAATTTGAGTTCTGCCTGGGTTCTGTTAGGAAGACGGTGGGCTTCTTTGCTACTGATAAAGGTCCATTTTAATCTCTTTATATACATTTTTAAACTGTAATATACTAAAATGGGAGACAGCACCCCCCCAGGCATGCATTGGAAAAGATTTCCCCTGCGGTTTTGTCTCTGTTAAAGAAAAACAGTTTTTGTTAAGGGGAGTTCCCAGCTCAGGAGCAGTCTGAGACAGCGAGAGCTTCTGTGGGTCTGTGTTGACTCGCCTTGCAGCAGCCTGCGAGGGGTTTGGGAGCAGACTGTGCCAGGATGGGGGGGGGGACACACAACTGCACATACAAAAACGCACTGCCGTGCATGCAGGGGCCAACAGGAGCTGGGGAGTGGGTCCGGGGCCGCTGTCTGGGGCAAGGGAAATAGCTGAGGCGCCATGCCCTGCACACACAGAGTTTAAATCTGCCTGCGTTTAAAAGCTGCGGTTTCCAAAGCAGCAGCAAGGGGACAGGTAGTAGGATAAGGAGCAGCCAAGGGACTGCTGCGACGCCTGGGAACGTTTCTGGTCTAACACCGGCTGAGCGAGCCACATTTCTGCTGCCTTCAACAGCTCTGGAGAAAGGAAACAGCAGCAGTGATGGGGGCTGGGGGTGGTTTAACCCTTGAGTTTCAGCACGGGGAGCTGAACACCCAGCAAGTTTCATGCTTCGGATTGCTGCGCTCACCCTGCAGGATGTGGTTTTAAAGGCAGCACAGCTGGGTGTACCATACAAGGCGCTAAACATCTAGGAGGGGGACTGCAAGACACAAAGAGCGCTAACACCCACACCCCCGCCCCCCCCTCCCCGTCAGCTCTAAAACCACTCTGGGCCACGTTCTCGGCTTCTGCAAAACTTCGCTGCTCTGGGGGCGCTTGCTCAGCCCAGCCATCCAGGCCACCGCCACGAACGGGATGTGATAAGCTCGGACCACTCTGGGTGTACAAGGTCTAAATTTTCCTTCAAGCTACACGCCGGTGCATTTTCCACCGTGCATGGGGCTGCACGTTTGCCTAGCGTTTGCCCCAACCCGTGCCATCCCACGCTCTCCTTATCTCAGTGGGATCAGCACCCATCCAGTGACAACATCTCTCTGCCTCTGTGCTTAGCTGCACTACAGACATATTTCTTTGTCCTCCCAAGAGTGAGGTGCTGAGGAGCCCCGCACAAATAGCCGAGTTGTAAATGTTGCCTCTGCCGGCTCCTTGATTTGTGCAGAGCGTACCCAACCACTCCGCTCCAGGTTCCTTCTGCTCTTTGGGCGCAGTTAGCCACCTTTGCCCGCTGCTTTGAGATCTGATGGCGGTGAAAACGCTACAACCTAGGCAGCCTGCCGCTCCCTTTTTTCCTAGGCTCCTACACAGGCGGCTTTGCAGACCGAAGGCGGGCATCGGCACATTCTACCTGCGATGGCCGTACCAGGCTCACCCTTCACTGGAGCAGGTTAGAGCGGAAAAACCACTGAGGCATCATTCTGCTCCCCTGAAGATCAAAACGCTGTCGTGTGAAGAGCCGACACCAGAGGAAAACAGGTCCTTTTCTCGTTCACTGCCCACAAGGCTGATCACGCACCAACTCCTGCGAGGGCACGCGGGGCGCACCCAGGGCTTTGCACAGCCTGTGTGTTGTTTGGCACGTCAAAGGTGTCACAGATCTGCAGCCAGTTTTTATGCAGCGTTAACTCTTTCGGTGCCTACTTTATGCCACAGAGTCACAAGGCAATTCACAGCCTGGCGCTCTCCAAAGCCCCTCACCCAGATTCTTAGAAAAGCAGGAAAACACAACCTACAGGTGTGTGCAACTGGCACATGGAGGGGGACCTCGTTTCTGAGGTTTCTAACTGCCAGCTGATACTGTCTGGTATCTGCCTCCCATTTTGGCCGTAGTCAGACCACGTTTGCCATTCCTCCTCAGAGCTGGGGAGGGGTGACCTTGCCAGGAGGAGCTGGGTTGGTGTGGGGAGACCGGGTGCTGCTCAGTGTCTGGAAATGGGGTTGAGCTGGGAAAGGCTCTGAAAATTTGCTCGACTGCATCCTGTACTCAGCAGAGTGGGATGGCTAGTGAGCCTGAAAGAGGGGTTGCCAATACCTGGTCACAGAGGTCAGTCACTCTCCGGTGGGCTGCAGAGGCAGAGGAGGGCAGGGGAGCCTCCCAGGAACATCGGACGTCCAGGGAGTGTCGACTGTGTTGGCCTTTGCTGCCTGGCCAGCTCTGCTGCCACGTGTTTTGCACGGTCTCTGCTGCAGTTTTTGGCCTCTCTGCCGCTTCCATTTCCTCTTTGGGCCGAGCCCCTACGAGCTCTTCTGGGGAGCCAGCACAGCTTGCCGCTTTGCTCGTGCTTCACTCCCCTAAGCCCCGAGGCAACCTGCAGGCTGGCCGGGTGCCAGCGACCTGGCAAGCTTCTGCGGTTTGAAGACTGCGATGAGATGCCAAGCCCTGCACGTCCAGAGCAAACGTCCTCCCTCCCACCAGCCCCCCGGCTCTGCCCAGGGGACCGAGGCACACAAGCACTTTGCAGGGGTGATACGGACCCTGCTGAGTGTCGCTGTGCTCCTGGTTCTCCCCGCTCTGGAAGGGGAGTTAAATGAGGCAAAGCCTCGGCTAGTGTCAGGGGCAGCAGACCTCTCCCCTCCACAAGGTCCCCCCTCTCCCCTCCAGCAACGGACCCAGATGTCATTTAGATCCTGGCACGGGGAGGTGGCACAGACATGGGTACCTGCCCGCAGTGGCAGAGCAGCGTCCTACCGGGACAGGCAGGAGCATCATGGCTCTGCAGGCATCCAGGCAGATGGCATCCAGCGCGCGCCTTCCCCAGCGACTGCACGGCTCCCCAGGGCTCAACACAACCGAGCAGGGAGGCTATGGGGAAGGCTCATCTTTAATGAGAGGAATACAGACGTGGAGGAGGTCATGGAAAGAGCAGAGTGCTACAAGCAGCCCACCCTGGCAAGGAGCCCGAGGGCTCTCTAGGCAAAACCCCACACTGTCTTCTGCCAGAAGTGAGCTTACAAACGCAGTGCCAGAGCAGGATACCGGGGTTCTTGGGTGCTGGCGGTTGGCTTCGCTGTAGTATCACTCCCAGTATGGAGGAGTTAGACGTGGAGGAGGTCATGGAAAGAGCAGAGTGCTACAAGCAGCCCACCCTGGCAAGGAGCCCGAGGGCTCTCTAGGCAAAACCCCACACTGTCTTCTGCCAGAAGTGAGCTTACAAACGCAGTGCCAGAGCAGGATACCGGGGTTCTTGGGTGCTGGCGGTTGGCTTCGCTGTAGTATCACTCCCAGTATGGAGGAGTTAGAGG